CCATTGTGTTCAAGCCCCTGGCTGACCAAAAACTCAACGGCCATCCCTCTGAGCCTGTGTATAAAGAAGCAGGAAGATCGGTGGTGAGGGGCAAGGGTGCCAAACAGGCTGATCCTCTATCATGCCCACAGAGAAACCCTTTTTTCTCCAGGGCCTGGGGAGCAGCCAGGTTCCATGAGTTAAATGCAGATCTAAACCATATCAAGCTGGGATTGCGGTACACACTTTCCTCTTCTGAAGAGTAACTAGGGATTCCAACTTGGTGAGAGGGAGACTGTGGCAGAGCCAGACTAGACAAGGACTAATCATCTGAAAAAGACTGCGATCAAAGGACTTGGTGAGTGCTGGGTACCCTGGCTCAAGCCTGTAATCCCAGCATTTTGGGAGGCTGAGTTGGGTGGATCACTTGAGGCCAGGAATTCGAGTCCAGCCTGGGCAACATAACAAAACCCTGTCTATACTAAAAATACAAAAATTAGACAGGCATGCTATGCTCCTGTAATCCCAGCTACTTGGGAGGCTGAGGCAGGAGAATCGTTTTAACTGGGGAGGCAGAGGTCGAAGTGAGCTGAGATCATACCACTGCATTCCAGTCTGGGAGACAGAGTGAACCTGTGTCTCAAAAAAAGAAAAAGAAAATGGCCTTGACAGAGTGGTTGGCCTGACAATGCCTTCCCTTGGGTTTCTCCTGGGTAGGGCTCTGTCATGAGGAGGTGCTTTTTTCTCCCTGTTCATGGTCCACATCCAAAAATTTTCTTTTTCTGGGGGTTGGGTGGGGGACAGAACTGGAAACCTTCTTTAGGTGATTTTTTGTTGTTGTTGTTTGGTTTTTTTTTGAGATGAAATCTCATTGTGTCACCTAGGCTGGAGTGCAGTGGCTCAATCTCAGCTCACTGCAACCTCCTCCCTTCCAGTTTCAAGCGATTCCCATGTCTCTGCCTCCTAAGTAGCTGAGATTACATGCATGTGCTACTGCACCGGCTAATTTTTGTATTTTTTATAGAGATGGGTTTTCAAACTCCTGACCTCAAGTGATCTGCCCATTTCGGCCTCCTAAAGTGCAGGAATTATAGGCATGAGCCACCATACTCGGCCCCTTCAGGTAGGTTTTGAGGCTTCACTACAATACTAATTTTCTGTTGCTGCTGCAACAAATTACCACAATGTATGCCCTTACGGTTCTGAAGGCCAGAATTCTAAAGTCAGTCTTACTGACTCAAGTGGGGAGCAGGGCCAGTGCCTTTGGAGGCTCTGCAGGAGAATCCCTTTCCTGGCCCTGGAGATGGCCTGCAATCCTCAGTTTGTGCTGCCCTTCTTGATTGACTTAAGTTTCCTGCTTCCATTACTACACCGCCCACCACTCTCCTCACCTGCTCTGCCCTTATAAGAATCCGGGTGAGTACACCAACCCAGCTGGGACGGGCTGGGATAATCTTCCCAGACAAAGACTCTTAAGTTCATTATATCTGCAAAGCCCCTTTTGCCATACCAGGTCATGTTCACTGGTTCTTGCGATTAGGATACGGGTACCTTGGGGGGTTAGTATCAGCCTACTACAGGTAGGCTGCAAAACTATTACACCCTTTTGGTGTTTTAATGATTGAGAGAAAAAGGGTTGGGATTTTTTTTTTGGGGGGTGGGTTCCTCTTAAACGTGTTATCTTTAAACTCTGGGGTCCATCTTAACCTTATTTTTTTTCTTTTCTTTTCTTTCTTTCTTTCTTTCTTCTTTCTCTCTTTCTTTCTTCTTTCTTTCTTTCTTTCTTTCTTTCTTTCTTTCTTTCTTTCTTTCTTTCTTTCTTTCTTTCTTTCTTTCTTTCTTTCTTCCTTTCTTTCTTTTCTTTCTTTCTTTTCTTCTTTCTCTCTCTCTCTCTCTCTTTCTTTCTTTCTTTCTTTTTTTTTTTTTTAACTATTTTGATACGGAGGCTTGTTCTGTTTCCCAGACTGGCAGCGGCAAGGTCTCGGCTCACTGCAATGTCTGCCACCTGGGCTCAGGCAATTCTCCCGCCTCAGCCTCCTGAGTAGCTGGGACTACAGGTGCCTGCCACCACACCTGACTAAGTTTTGTATTCTCAGTAGAGAAGAGGGTGGAGGGTGGTGGCGGGGGTGGGGGGGAATGGGGGTTTCTACTCTGTTTCCCTGAACACAAAGCGATCTGGCTGCCTCTGCTCGCAAAGTGCTGGGATTACAGTCCTGCACCATTGCACCTGGCTGCTGTAAAGTCTTATTTCCACACAGCTGAGACGTGTTTTTGGAAGTTTGCTAAAGGGCACCTGGAGACCTCCTGATGGTGGTTTTCCTGTTGTTGTGTTTAATTTGATTGATCTTTTCTGCTTTCCAGAAATTAAAAGGCTAACATGAGGTAGTAAACTTTAAAACTTCTCTTTTCGTTTATTTATTTATTTTTTGAGATGGAGTCTCACTTTGTCACCCAGGCTGGAGGGCAATGGCATGACCTAGGCTTACTGCAACTTTCGCCTCCTGGGTTCAAGTGATTCTCTTGCCTCAGCATCCCAAGTAGTTGGGATTACAGAAGCACACCACTACAACTGGCTGTTTTATATTTTTGGTAGAGATAATGTTTCAGTATGTGGGCCAGACTGGTCTTGAACTCCTGACATCAAGTGATCCACTTGCCTCAATCTCCCAAAGTACTGGGATTACAGGTGTGCACCACTGCACCTGCCCTAAAACTTCTCTTGTATTCTCCCATTAAACTAGTTCTAAGAACCACCAAAACAGAAAATTTTTTTGAAAGCAGTAAAATGATAATGGACTGTTAGAATGTAAAATGCAGGAAATAAGTCATTATATTTTAGTGCTGCTCTGACATAGGGATGTATTATTGAGAATCAACTTTTGCTCAGTTTTCAGAGAATGAGATAATTCTATCACTGATCAATGAAAAGAAGTTGAAGAACTGTTTGAAAGAAAATGTAGTGCGTCTAAATTGGAAAAGTCCAGTAAGACTTTGTTCATGAGCATTTACACAATGCAGTTACTGTTCACCATGGGAGTACTGTGGACAAACCCAGGGCCACTGGTCGGTCGATTGTGCCATTTTTGTATGTTTTTCCTTGTAAGGTGCTTTGTAGTGTCTGTCGAAATAATAGAAACGTTATTTGTTTCTACATTACTGCAAAGCTAAGAAAATGTATTTCTTTAATCTGTTCTGTTACATGCGGTATTTGGTGGGGTGCGGTGGCTCATGCCTGTAATTCCAGCATTTTGGGAGGCTGAGGTAGGCAGATCACCTGAAGTCGGGAGTTTGAGACCAGCCTGACCAACATGGAGAAACCTTGTCTCTACTAAAACTACAAAATTAGCTGGGTGTGGTGGTGCATGCCTGTAATCTTAGCTACTCCGGCGGCTGAGGCAGGAGAATCACTTCAACGCAGGAGGTGAAGATTGTAGTGAGCCGAGATCCTGCCATTGCACTCCAACCTGGGCAACAAGAGCAAAACTCTTTCTCAAAAAAAAAAAAAAAAAAAATGGTATTTGCCAAGATGCCCCTGTTGTCTCTGCTTTTATCTTGATGCGTCACTGAGTTAATGTTAGATTTGAAATTCTTCTTTACCCTTACACTATCCTGTCCTGAAGCTACCTTTATATCATAATGAAAGAAGTTAGCAATTTGTTATTATCATCTATCTGTTGGCACATCAAATGTTCACCTAAAAAATAGCAACAACCAGTAGAAACATTATGTATTTTGCTGTTTCTATTTGGATGACTATTTACTTTGCAACATTAGTAGCAAGCTGTAAAATTGTGTAGTATGCAGAATTTTAACTAAATTGCTTTAAGTGAACATTTAAACATGATAAACAATATTGAAGTTATTTATGTTAATATACTTGAAATGAACATTTTGTCTTCAATATGAATATTATAACCTAACTCTCAATGAAAATGAAAAACTAGAATTAGAGTAAATTTGCTAATGAATTCAATAACTTTTCCACAATATTTTTAGCTATGTGCTTAAGGTTCTCTTAGTGTTTCTTGCACTTTATAATAGCTTAAGCCTTTTTTTCTGGTTTTTGTAGGTTCTTGTTTGTTTGTTTGTTTTGAGACAGAATTCAGCTCTGTCACCAGGCTGCAGTGCAGTGGCACAGTGTTGGCTCACTGCAACCTCCACCTCCCAGGATCAAGTGACTCTCCTGCCTCAGCTTCCTGAGTAGCTGGGACCACAGGTGTGTGCCACCACACCCAGGTAATTTTTGGAATTTTAGCAGAGACAGGGTTTCACCATGTCAGCCAGGATGGTCTTTATTTCTTGATCTTGATTTCTTGCCTTGGCCTCCAAAAGTGCTGGGATTACAGGCATGAGCTACCACACCTGGCCTTTGTTGGTGCATTTTAAAGGAAAAAAAAAAAAGTCATAACATGTGCTACCAGGAAGCATGGACAATGAGGATTTATTTACATATTTATTGCAAAGCCCTGGATCTGAGGAATTGAATTGAATTTTTTTTTAAAAACAAATTAGTTTCTTAATCTTATCTAAAAGCATAGGCTCTGGGGACACAGCAGGGCCACATCTCTTATCCTGTCTGAGCCTTAGTATCATCCTATTCTGTGGTTATGAGAACTGAAGATCTATCTCAAAGATCTGATAAGATAGTAAAGTGCTTCACATAATGCCTGGCATATAAATACATAATAAATGCTTCCTCCTTGTGTCTTTATTTATTTGTTTGTTTGATTTTTCAGACAGAATTTTGCTCTGTCACCTAAGCTTGATTGCAGGGGCATGAACTCGGCTCGCTGCAACTTTTGCCTTCCAGGTTCAAGCAATTCTGCTGCCTCAGCCTCCCAAGAAACTGGGATTATAGGCATGCACTACCACACCCAGCTAATTTTTGTGTTTTTAGTAGAGACAGATGTTGGTCAGGCTGGTCTTGAACTCCTGACCTCAAGTGATTTACCTGCCTCTGTCTGCCAAAGTGCTGGGATTACAGGCATGAGCCACTACACTCGGCATATGTCTTTATTATG